TGTTGGCTAAGATGTGTTAACTTAATTAATTTTAATTTTTTTTAGGTTTTGCCACAGGGCGTGTGTACTCACTGGGGAGACACAGAGAGAGGGAAGGTAAAAAGTCACCTCTCAGGGGGCATGGCCACACTGCAATCCCTTCTCTATTATCCTCTCAGGATTTGGGGCTTGCAGGCACACATGCCTGGCATGATTTTTCAAGCTGCTGGGTCTGGGACTTGAACTGCAATCTGCCACGTGGGAATCCAGCACCTTAACCATCATGCCACTTGCTGGCCCAAACTGCATTATATTTATTGTCACTGATGTGTGGTAAAATTTAGGCCCCTTATGCTGCCTTCTGCTAGTGCTGCATCTGTAGGTACTGGTAAGAACACTTTAAAAAACATTTCAAGGTGCTGGATTCCCACATGGCAGGTTGCAGTTCAAGTCCCAGACCCAGTAGTTTGAAAATCATGCTGGGTACGTGTGCATGCATGCCCCAAATCCTGAGAGGATAATAGATACTAGGGAAGGGGTTGCGGTATGGCCATGCCACCTGGGAGGTGATTTTTTTCTGGATGTTTATAGGTGTCCCTACTCTATCCATCACGCATGACGATATATTGGATGCAGAGGCAGGAACAGAATAAAGCTTAGCCCGTCCCTCAGTCCAAGTATGACCTACTATGTAATGATCCGCTTTACAAAGCAGTTTCCAAACACTCGTTGTAGAAAGTGCAGGGACGGCTCGTGTCACAGTTACCTTTCACTGGAAATGTGATCAGAGAGGCTTAGAATTTTCGGGGCCATCATAGAGTGCTACCCTCGGATAGGTCAGGAAACCGAAATCCAGGAGGGTCCTGGTCACAGCCATGAAGTTAAGCCAGGACTGAGATCAGGCCCCCAGACTCGGGATCCCAAATGATGCCAGCACACTGGGCCTGCCCCTTGCCATTGTTTCACTCCCAAGTAGACTGTGAGCTCCCTGAGGACAAAGTCCAGGACCTCGGAAATCATGCTGGGTACGTGTGCATGCATGCCCCAAATCCTGAGAGGATAATAGATACTAGGGAAGGGGTTGCGGTATGGCCATGCCACCTGGGAGGTGATTTTTTTCTGGATGTTTATAGGTGTCCCTACTCTATCCATCACGCATGACGATATATTGGATGCAGAGGCAGGAACAGAATAAAGCTTAGCCCGTCCCTCAGTCCAAGTATGACCTACTATGTAATGATCCGCTTTACAAAGCAGTTTCCAAACACTCGTTGTAGAAAGTGCAGGGACGGCTCGTGTCACAGTTACCTTTCACTGGAAATGTGATCAGAGAGGCTTAGAATTTTCGGGGCCATCATAGAGTGCTACCCTCGGATAGGTCAGGAAACCGAAATCCAGGAGGGTCCTGGTCACAGCCATGAAGTTAAGCCAGGACTGAGATCAGGCCCCCAGACTCGGGATCCCAAATGATGCCAGCACACTGGGCCTGCCCCTTGCCATTGTTTCACTCCCAAGTAGACTGTGAGCTCCCTGAGGACAAAGTCCAGGACCTCGGGAAGACCAGAGAGTGGACAGATGGCGGCCTGGCACCTTCATGAAATGCAAATGCGACCTTTGGCTGTGTGGTGCAACGGCTCGGGGCCAGCTGGCTCTCGCCGGCCCCGGCTGAGGCCAGCATCCCTGAGATGCAAGCTGTGTTCTGTTACGCCCGAGTGTCCAGACACACTTGAGTGACAGTGCCTGGAGGTGCCATCCTTCTCTCCCCAGATCACCCAGGAGCAGAAACGCCATGCCAGCCCCGCAGAGTGCCCGCTCCACAGTTCCCGCCAACAAGCCTCGGCCCACTGTCGCAGTAGACACAGAGCGCAAGACCCGCGCTGCCAGGACAGCTTCCTCGTGCCCCTTGGCTGGCGGCGTGCAGTGCCCAGCCTGCCAGAGGCCACCAGCTCTGCTCCTGGCAGCAAGGGGCATGCTAAGCCGAGGGCTCCTGCCCCTGGCGAAAGGTTTAGGA